GGTAAAATAACATAATAAACCTATCAAGTGTGAGCCAAGGGGTAATCACTCTCGAAATATTTGATTTGACGGTGCTAGAGATGAAGTAGCACCGTTTAATTTATTCCTTAGGGGTCGTTTGGATCCTAGGGTATACAAAACATGGTTTCATAAAAACATGTTTGGCAACTTTTTCAATACATTAACTATGTTTTCTTTAACAAAGAATGAAGGGGTATACAAAACCAACAAAAACAATTGAGTATCCAAAACATTGTTTTGTGTAAGCATGAAAGAGTGGATACTACTTAGTCACACCAGAACTGCCTTCTAGATCTGCCCACTTCATTAAATGCAATTAAATTATGTCAAAAGATCTACACAATGCTTTAGCGAGAAAGTGTTGTAAAAATTTAAGGAGTGAAACTATATCAAATTTTAGAGGGATAAACTACTTAAAATATTTTAGAGAGAGAAATATATGAAATTTTTTAGTGAGAGATACTATCTCAAAATTTCATGTTTTAGAAAGATAAAGTATCTCAAAATTTTAAAGATATAAACTAAATCAAATTTTAGAGGGAGAATCTAAAAAATTTTAGGGAGAGAAACTCTCTCAAAAATCTTAGAGAAATAAACTTTGAGAAAGAAACTATCTCAAATTTCAAGTTCTGGAGAGAAAAGTATCTTAAAATTTTAGAGAGGAAAAATACCTAAATTTTTTAAAAAAGAAACTACCTCAAAAAATTTAAAGGGAAATTATCTCAAATTTTAGGCTTTAAAGAGATAGAGTATCTTAAAATTTTAGAGAGAGAAACTACCTATTTTCTTTAGAGAGTAACTATCTTAAAATTTTAGAGAGAACTACATCAAATTTTAAGTTTTAGAGAGAGAAACTACATCAAAATTTAGAGAAAGAAACAACATGAAACTTTTTAGAGAGAGAACTATCTCAAAAAATTTAGAGAGAGAAATTATATCAAATTTCAAGATTTAGAGAGAAAGTATCCTAAAACTTTAGAGACTGAAGCTATATCAAGTTTTATATAGAGAAATTACATAAAAAATATTAGAGAGAAAAACTATCTCAAAAAATTTAGAGAAACTTTCTCAAATTTTAGGTTTTAAAGAGGGAAAGTATCTTAAAGTTTAGTGAAAGAAACTATATTGAATTTTAAAAAGAGAAACAACCTGAAATTTTTTTTAAGTAGTATCTATCTCAAAAAATTTAGAGAGAGAAAATTTCAACTATCTAAAATTTCAAATTTTTAGAGAGATCAACAATCGCAAAATATTTGAAGAGAAGCTATATCAAATTTAAAGTTTGACAATTTTCTCTTTAAAAATGTTGAGATAGTTTCTCTCTCTAAATTTTTTTAGGCAATTTCTCTCTCTAAAATTTGGTATAGTGTCTCTCTCTAAAGTTTTGGTAAAATTTTTTATAATGGGAAATTTTTTTATATATATAGTTGCATACCAAATATATGTAACCTAATTTACACATGAAACTACTTGTCTTGAAAATGTTTCATACCTACAAAATGTGTCCTAAATAGTGTAAACCCAAGTTACTCAAATAGATGACCCAAACAAGGGATTTGCATAACCTGGGTATTATCTACAAGCTATCCAAATGAGCCCTTAACATTATAGTGTCGCCCACCTCCTCCGACCCCGTAAACCCCAACGTTGGAACGGTGATGAACAAATGGGCAAAATGATTTTTCTTTTGGGTAGTTTAGTAGAAGGAATTAGATTTGAAATGTAATATTGCTAATGTCAATTATTAACCTTTCATGTCGGAGTTCAATTCTTAATACGTTTAAGGAGTAACTAATAATTCCAGGGTGTGGTTTGTATAAGGCTAAGGCTTTAAACAATCAAAGTAATGTGTGCCTTCAAATGATGTTGAAATATGTTGTTTCAGTATAAAAAATCTTTGTTGTGACTTACAATTTTATTTTTACATCTTATTATTATATTTAAAAATTTTAAAATACTGTAAATCGAGCAGAACTATGAACATTTGAAAATCATGAAAATTAACCATCTAGATAATCCATTACAAGGTATACTATTTCCAAGATTTGTATGTAGAATAATTTTAATTGGTTCTAGATGGTTCCCACAACTATATATAGGTTTTGGAAATTAAATGGTCGGAAAATTTATGGTTTTGATTTTTTAAAATGCAAAATTAGGGAAAAAATGGGGAAGAAGTAAAAGTAAGGGAAAAAAAAACAAAAAGATAGGAAAGAAAATAGGAAAGGATCCATATAAAAGAGAGAAAAAAACAAGAGGGAAAAAGAAAACGAAGGATGAAGAATAAGGAAATGAAGGGAACAAAAGGAGTAAAACAAAACCAATAACGGAAAGAAAATATTTAAATAGGGAAACGACTTTCTCGATAGCCTTCAAAGATTTCAAGAGGCCCTTTTTTTAAGGTTTTTTTTTTTTTTCCACAAAACTCTCCAAAATAGCCTTGTAGGCTGGACATCCCTTCTTTCCTCATATACATAATTGTTTTTTTTTTAAAAATAACTTAGATTATCCTATTTCAAATAAAACAAGCAAATGACTTGCCTCTAAATCTCTATACACCCAAACAACATAAATACCCAAAAAAAAAAAAAAATTCAAAATAAAAATTGGTTCCACTCTAAACAAACCTCAATTAAATAACCAAATTAAATTAGTCACTTAGAGGAAAACAATCAATTTTGTAACAAGTCATTTGGACGGTCAATTTTCAAGTATTTATAAATCGGCTCATTTTATACTAATTTTAAAATTTTAAAATTTATAATTAGTGATAAAAAAACACGAGAACAACGTGTCCAAGTAAATTTTGAAAGGGCCTTACTTACAAGAAGGGTGCCCTAAACAAATATCACCATCATTTTTTTTTGTTTTATGAAGCTTACCATTCATTTTTTTTATGACAACTAATGGACTTACTCGTACTATTTCCATTGTTTCCATCCGTTCCTATAGTATGTTTTTTCAAGGAATAAAGTTTATATAAGGACGCTACCTTATAACGTAGAATTATGGATGCTCCTAAAAAATCTATCCAAAAAAGTAGTTTTAATATGGAAAAACTTTTTGATTGACTATCTCGACATCAGAATGTATGACTATGAAAAATAAAAAGATTTTAAATCTCATAAATAATATATTTTACAATATATTATCTACACCATCTATTTTCAAGATTTTTATATATTTATAGATCTACTTAATTTTAATCATTTTTAAAATTTTAAAATTTATAATTAAATATAAAAATAAATTTTAAGATAATTTTAAAAATATTTTACATCAAATTTATATAACATTATAAATTTTGAAGATCCACCTTACCTCTACATCTAACCTACTGATGCGTCCATATGCAAACTGCACTCTTTTTCGAGATGAGTCAATCATAAGAGGGATGCATGACCACGACTTTTTTTTGTCATTCTTTTCTTAAACGACAAAAAAAAATCCTCCTTTCTTAGTGCCTTTCACACCCATCGCCGTCAAGATGGGCCGCATGAAAAGAAAAACATTTTAAAAAAGAAAAAGCGTACATAAGGTTGCAACCTAAAAAGTAGAATTACAGGTGCGTCTAAAAAATCCATCAAAAAAAAGTTATTTGAATGTTGAAAAAACTTATGATTAATCATCTCGACATCCAAATGTATGAATATTAAAAAAAAAAAATTATTTTAGATCACATAATTAGTGTATCTTGCAACACATTATCTAGACTGTTTATTTTCAATATTTTCATATGTTTATAGATCTACTTGATTTTAACCATTTTTGGAGTTTAAAATTTTATAATTAGGGATAAAAATAGATTTTCAAATAATTCTAAGAAAATTGTATACCAAAATTATATGTTATGATAAACTTTGGAGGTGTCTTAATTGGATTATTTAAAGTCCAACCATACAGAAATCGTACCTTTTAAAAAAGGGTTCAGTTTGTGTAGAGCCTACATTCTAAACAATCAAATTAGAGCCTACCTTCAAATAGTATCCAGAAATGTGGTATTAATAAGGGAAATCTTTGTGCCTTAAAATATATTTTTATATTTATTTATAAAACTTAAAACTTAAAAAATAGTGTCGATCAATGAAAGCTTGAAAATCTTGAAAATTAGAGGTCCAATAATACGTTATAAAATGCGCTATTTCTAAAACTTGAAATATATTTTTTTTCATGTCCATGCATCTTGATGTCAGTATGATAAATTTGAAGATATTTATGCATCAAAACAACCTTTTCTAGTAAAATTTTTGAGGTAGGTTCAAATTTTATTGTTTAGAGCCTCGGTTCAATATAAACTTTTCCCTTTAAAAGATAATAATAATAAGAGATTTTAATAAAATTATGTGTTCTCTTCAAAAACAAAAAAAGAAAAAAAAGAGATTTGAATTTAAAAATTGCCTCTACTATTTCGCTACTATGAGCATTCGTACAATATGGTCTACATATTATAAACCCCAATTAATTGATTGAGATTCAATTAAGATCCGTATCGTTATAGACGCAATAAAGACTCTTTCTACATGTATGCCACTTGTGATGCTTGCATCTACCGTTGTCTTTATCGTAATGGACGCTCCAGATTATTTCGTCGCTCGGAAGTCGTGGAATCGGACAGTCGTCTCAAACCACGGCTTATTTTCATTAATATATGATTAAATACATTAAATGATGTTAGCATGTACAATTAAATACATTAAACGATATTGGCATGTATGATTAGATAACATTGGCATTTTCAACATCTTGAAAATACTCAATGGAGCCACAATCGACGGTTCTGATCTTGTTAAATCTTGAGTTCACCAAAAGGGACACGAGAGCATCTTTGAATAAGAGGCTACCGGTTCGAACAAATGGATGATAGTAACCGATTCTTGAGATCACAACCGTCCATTTGGCCCTCTCGTGTGGCTGCTTTCTTTAAGGTTACTATATAAATAAATACCGGAACATGCTTACGGATTGGGATCTATATTTGCCGTGTGTGTGATAAAAATAGAAGAGCGAGAAATCAAGTCTTGTTTGCTCAGTAGAGAGAGAGAGAGAGATCGAGTCTTGTTTGCTCAGCAGAAAGAGAGAGAGAGATCGAGTCTTGTTTGCTCAGCAGAAAGAGAGAGAGAGATCGAGTCTTGTTTGCTCAGTAGAGATAGTACTTGAGAGCGAGAAGAGAGACTGATAGAGATCACTCACTCACTCTCTCAGTTTTGTGATGAATATGCTGCAAGCCTTCAAGCCTATGGGTTGAACAGCATCAGTAGAGAAAGAGAAGAGCAGAGAGAGAGAAAGATGGGAAACGCGACGTGCCCGTCTCCGATGAAGGCGGTGTCGAATGGGGCATGGCAGGGAGATAACCCTCTGGACTTTGCTTTGCCCTTATTGATGCTTCAGATCTGCCTCGTTTTGATCGTGACCAGATTGCTTGCTTTCCTCCTGAGGCCTCTGCGTCAGCCTCGAGTCATTGCAGAGATCATCGTAAGGACCCTCTTTCTCTTTCTTTTCTTCTCACTTCTTCTGTTCTTTGTTAGTTTTACAGTTCTTTTGATTCCATCAGTGATTACAGAAAGAGAAATCATAGCCCTAAAAAATGGCGATCGAAGTAGCCTTCAGCGATACGAAATTGAGACAGATGAGTGGGCGCTTCAGACTTTATTTGGTCAGCGGGAAGGGGGAAAATATTTGTGGACCCAAAAAGTGTATCCATCTTTTGTTAAATTACTAAAATGTTCTTAAACCTTATGTCGATTAGTACAAAAAATGAAGAGGCCATAATGGGATGAGGTCCTCATCTACATAGGAGGGATAGGATCGCCATTTAGAAAAATTCCTCTCTTAATGTAAACGCCATCGAGTTTGCTACAGTATACTCTTGCACCTGTTTGGTTTGAAACCAGTGAAGAAAAATCAAACCGTGTTAATCGGACATGGGCTCGTAATCGACCAAAGCAGTAAACCAGGTTAACCGCACATGGGCAGGCGGTAAAAAAGATATTAAAAAATAATAAAAAAAAATAAAAATCAATTTAATAAAATATAAAAAGTATATTTAAAGAATGATTAAACAAACCATATCCTAAACAAACCATATCCAAAGTTGAAAATTAATGAAAAAAATAAATTTTAAAGATCCGACTTTTCTGACCTGGTATTTTTAAAATTTTTCAAAAAATGGGAAATATGTAAAGATAAATATTAATGAAAAATGTAAAAATATATTACAGAAAATAAGGAATTTTTTTTGCCATTAATACTTATTTTTATATTTTCCCTTTTTTTTTTGAAAAATTCCAATAGTATCTTGTTTTTTTTATAGTACAAATAAAATTCCTTATTTTTTAAATTTTTTTATATATTTTTTTTTTGAAAAAAAACCGGCTAGATACCAAAACCGGTTGAACGGATGGCCAGTTTCGATCTAACCAGGCGGTTACCGGTTAAAAAACCCAATTTTTCCTAGAATGTTTGAAACATGATCGAGTTTGTTACAATATGCTCTAGCACCTGTTTGGTTCAAAATTCAAGCATGTACTGGTTTTTCTTCAACCATTACTAGTAGCTTTGCAATTGTCCGATGCTTTCAAAAAAGAAAGTTAAGTTGAGGATTGTCCCCCGAAGTGGAACCCACTTTAAGAGGAGGAACGCACTCCTCAACTTGACAAGGGACGGTTAAGGAGCTGTTCTTATTGTTATTATGTGTCACCAGACCATACTTGAGATAAATATTTTTTTTTATCATAAGAATTTTATAAGATCAATCTTTCAGTAATAGTTTTGGATCAATATCTTGAATCCCAACTTCAATTTTTTGATCAAATTTATAGCTTTTGTTTCCAAAGTTGATCTTTATGTTATATGCTGTTTGTTTTCTGTTTCTGTTTTGTTATAAGCTCTGTTATTATCAGGTACCTCTAGCTTTGTTCTTTGATTAGTTATAGAAAACCGCAAAGTTAATGTAATTGCTATCTATTTTGTCCATTGTTTTGCACATGAACCCTAATTCTCTTCAAAAATATTTTTAATCGAGTTTCTCGTTTGGGTGTTCTAGGATTCTGGTTTTACTGAATTCATATCTTGGAAAGCATATATTTTTTGAGGATGTCAATATCTTGGAACGCATATTTTATTATTTTGATACCTACAGTACACTGAAGGAAGTTCATTTCAATTGTAAAAACCCTTGTTCAAATAAATTTTTAAAAAACATAACCCTAACGGTTGGAAAACATAGATTACCAAATACCGTCTTTCTCCCACCCTCTTTCTCTCTCCCTCCCTTTCGCTCTGTTGATTTCGTGGCCGACCAACAGGCTATCTCACCACTAATGGAATTATGATTGGAGAATGATTGGAGAAAGAGAGGTAGGTGGGGCAGTTCAAATATCTTCTTCATGACCTAACAACTTGACATCAGTGGACACACGCTCTCTCTCTTTCTCTTAAAGGGGTCCCTTCTCTAGGAGAGAGAGATATGGCTGTCATTTATCCCTTCTCTGAGAGAGAGAGAAAGAAGAGGACAAAGATCCAAGAGAGAGGTCTGAGATATCAAAGAGAGATAGTTGGCTGGAGGCAGAGTGAGAGAGAGATGACAGAGATCGAAGAGAGAGAGGTCAGAGACATTAGGGGAAGAGAGAGATGGCTGTGGGGCAGGGAGAGAGATGGCTGGGGGCTTGCGGGGATAGAGCAGGTGACAGAAAAAAACAGAAATGGAAAGGAGGAAAAAAGAGCCCGGAATGGATTGGTTAGCTCTTGGGGATTGCGAGCCGAGTTTTCCAGCTCGATTCCTACCGTGAATTGATTGAGGGGCAAATCCTGCCTTTCCCACCTAGAAGCAAGGGAAAATAAAAAAATAAAAAAAGGGCCAAATTTCTTCTCAAGAAAAATAAACAATGGTACTGAATAATCCTGATTAGGTTAGACAAAGTATAATCCATATAATTTTTAGCCCAAAACCCCATTACATGCATCATTTATCTCTCTTTGTACTTAACGCCCTTTGTTTCCATGAAAATGAGCATTCTGCCATAATCTGATTTTTCTTGCCATATTTGTATTAACAAGGGTGGGATTTTACTGGGCCCCTCAGCACTGGGCCACAACAAGGACTACCTTCGCAGGGTCTTCCCTCCTCGGAGCATGACACTGCTTGACAGTGTTGCCAACATGGGCCTCCTATTCTTCCTCTTCTTGATTGGGTTGGAACTAGATGTCAATTCCATTCGCCGCACTGGTCGCAAGGCCCTTGGCATCGCCCTTGCCGGCATCACTCTCCCCTTTTTGCTGGGCGTAGGCACCTCCTTTGTCCTCAAGTCCACCGTTGCCAAGGGTGTAGGGACTGCTTCCTTCCTCGTGTTCATGGGCGTCGCCCTTTCTATCACTGCTTTCCCTGTCCTTGCTCGTATCCTTGCCGAGCTCAAGCTACTCACCACAGACATCGGTCGCATTGCTATGTCAGCTGCTGCTGTCAATGATGTGGCTGCATGGATATTACTGGCTTTGGCAGTGGCACTCTCAGGCACTGGCCGAAGCCCACTTGTGTCATTGTGGGTGCTGCTTTCAGGAGTGACTTTTGTGATATTTGCGGTGCTGGCAGTGAGGCCTGTGCTAGCATGGATGGCTCGGCGGTCAGATGACAATGGGCCTGTGCACGAGGGCTACGTGTGCGTGGTGCTGGCAGTGGTACTAGCAGCTGGGTTTGCAACAGATTCAATTGGGATACATGTGTTGTTTGGGGGGTTTGTGATGGGGCTGGTGATGCCCAAGGAAGGAGCCTTTGCCGGGTCGCTTATTGAGAAGATCGAGGACTTGGTTTCAGGGCTGTTCTTGCCACTGTATTTTGTGTCAAGTGGATTGAAGACAGATGTGGCTACAATACAAGGGGCTCAGTCCTGGGGGATGCTTGGGCTGGTGATTGTGACAGCATGTGTTGGGAAGGTCTTGGGAACGGTTGGGGTGTCATTGGCGTTTAAGATGCCTTGCAGGGAGGCCTGGGCGCTTGGCTTCCTTATGAACACAAAGGGGCTTGTGGAGCTCATCGTTCTTAACATCGGCAAGGACAGGAAGGTGAGGCTTCCTTTCTCTCCTCTCCCTCACTATCTGACACCAGGATCAGGCAATGGGCTGTTCCTTCACCATGACAAACAAGTAACATGAAATTCACTATGTTTTTATTTGTGATTTGTGCAGGTCTTAAATGACCAGACATTTGCCATCATGATCCTGATGGCCCTCTTCACCACCTTTATTACCACCCCCTTGGTCACTGCAGTCTACAAACCTGCCCGCAAGGCTACCCCTTACAAGCACCGCACCATCCAGCGCAAGAATCCTGATAGTGAGCTCTGCATCCTTGCCTGCCTCCACAATGCTAGGTCTATCCCAGCTCTCATCCACCTCATCGAGGCCTCTCGTGGCACTCGCCGCCGGTCCCTCTGTGTCTATGCCATGCACCTCATGGAGCTCTCTGAGCGGCCCTCCGCGATCGTCATGGCCAACAAGGTCCGCCACAATGGCCTCCCCTTCTGGAACAAATCGCATCCCAACTCTGACCACTTTGTTGTTGCCTTCGATGCATATCAGAGTCTCAGCTCCGTTTCTGTCCGCCCTATGACTGCAATTTCCTCCCTCACTACCATGCATGAAGACATATGCTCCTCTGCCGAGCACAAGCGTGCTGCCCTTATCCTCCTCCCCTTTCACAAGCAAGCCCGCATTGATGGAAACTTTGAGGTGACTCGCCCTGGCTTTCGACAGGTGAACTTGCATGTCCTCGGAAATGCACGCTGCTCAGTTGCCATCTTTGTGGACAGGGGCCTTGGGGGCCCTGCCCGTATCCCCGCCAGCAACTTTGCCTCCTCAATTGCCATGCTTTTCTTTGGCGGCCAAGACGATCGTGAGGCCCTCTCATATGCGACCCGCATGGCAGAGCACCCTGGTGTCTCCTTGATTGTCCTCCGCTTCCAGCCTGTGCCTCAAACCAATCAACCAGATGGAGTTGGGATAGACATGGAGACTGGGAGTCATGAAGATGATGAAAAGTTCCTCGCTGATTTTCATGCCATGGCCAAAACAAATCAGTCAATTAGGTACGAGGAATTGGAGGTAAGAAGCAGGGAAGAGACGGTGGCTGCGATAAGAAATGTGGCTCGTTGCAACTTGTTGCTTGTGGGGCGGAGGGCAGAGGCGCCTGGGTTTGAGATGAGCAGTGCAGATTGTACAGAATTGGGCTTAGTTGGGAGCTTTTTGGTATCACAAGAGTTCACGGGTGGGGCATCGGTGCTTGTGGTGAGACAGTACCACCCTGGTATCACCATTGGCTCACCGCTGTTGTCTGAGGGCACGTCAGAAATGTCAAAGATTCCAGTCGATGATTCTGATGGTTGAGGGTCTATGTACTAGAAAGCAATTCAAGTCGGAGGTCTATGGCTTTTTAATAAGGGATTGTATAATATGATATCATTTATTTTACATTGAGTTTACGATTACAGCTAGCTATCATATCAGTTGCCAAATTAGATGGCTTTGGGTGTGTCTAAGAAATTATTTTTGAACTTTTAAGTCAAGTTAAGTACACATTCACAACTAAATTTGAAATTCTACAGATGATGTTGTGACCTCCTTGTATTAAAACTAAATGATCTCGTTGTATACTTTTCCTTTCTAAGTATTCACTCTGTTTTGTAGTTTCAAAGATATGAGTAAACAAAAACAAAAAGAGTAAAACAAAGTAGAGGTATAAGGTCATTACTAAAGAAGAGAATCAAGTAAAAGAAATAGGACACCCATTTCTGTGTATTCTTTTGGTGCATGCAGAAGAGGAGCTCTGTGCAGTCAGCAGGCACTATGTGTTACGTGTGAAGGTTGGGCATCATTGTAACTTTGGAGAAGTTTGCACAAGACCTAGAAGGGTGAGTCCTCGGTTGCAAGTGATTATTCCAGCCCGAAATACTGTTAATATCTGAACTTCAATGTGCAAATTACTGGACTGCAATGCTTCTCCTTGCATCTATATCTGTTAATAAGTTATGTGAGATCATTTAAGGCATTGGTAAGTATACTTATCTACTTAAAAAGTGCATACAATTTTCGTGATGGACTTCAAAGCATCTGCAATTGAACATGCTATTTCTAATATATATTTTCTACATCTCTTATCCACTAAATATCAGGTACTAATACTGGGGCTGGGATTGTAAGAGTCGAATCCTGGGCTCATGGCACTACTGTAACGATCTAGAATGGCAACAGACAAATCTTGGGACCATGGCGTTCATGTAAAGTACCAACACTCCGTACTAAGGCAAGTGTTGAGTGTCGACATGTATTGACTCTTGAAGACAACCTAAATACCTGCCTGACCATATGTGTCAGGTAATGTTGCTTATTTTGAGTAGTATTATAAAATGGATGTTAATATTATATTTTCAAAATACAATATTTTATTTTATAACAAATATTAGGGCATGTCTAGTGGTACTGCCCTTTTAGGCTGACATACTGGGCACTTGTGACATTCACAGACGCGGACGCTTATGTTGGTGTCCATATAACACTGTTGTACAGTGTACAAATCCCTACAACAAGCAAATATCTTTCAGGTTATATCAAAATAAACATTGGATTTGGTTCTGTCAAAACGTGTTTCCAAAAAGGTCAATCTCTGCTATAATCGTCCAATGCGTGGGATTATTTGTAAAAAATTGTCGCAAACTTGCAGGCCAAATCATGGTAAAATTCATAACATCTTTTTCAATGTCTGAAGGACGCGGTTGGCATGTGGCCAGCCTGCGTATTGTAGAAGTGCAGGCTTGGCAATAAATATATATTTTAAATGTAATTTGATCCTAATTTTTAGAGTATATATAATCTTTAATATGGAGATCATGAATATGGGGGGAAAAAAAAAAATGGAAAACTTAAAATAATAATTATATTAAGAAAATATTTGGACCGTTAGTTACAATTGCTTTTAGATGGACCACCTATTTGCATGCATCTTTAAAATGGATGTTTTATACCTCTGGAGTCTGGACCGCATATTGTAGTAATATACGGTCCAGCACGCATTAAACAATTGTTTGTGTCTGAAATCCTTAAAACGTAGAATATCAATTACAGTACCATGACTAACATAAATTTCCATCAATAATGCACTGAGAAGGTAGCCAGCCTCTTTTTTTTTCCCCTTTTTTTCTTTTTTTTTGTTGATGAATGTGATGCAACCGCCGCCATCCATACCACCCTTCCCACACACAAAAAAATGCATCCATCACATCATCGTGATACCTAGCCTGAGCTTCATTCGTGTTTGTGGCTCCCCAGAGTTGTCTTAGTTGATATCCTAAGGCATCAAAACATCAATTTGTAATTAGTTTCTTAATTTGGTTTATACAAGGAATCAAGTATTCCTTAAATTTTGCTTGTTAGAGCTAGTTATTGCCTCTTATAGGCTGGAGTGCATAAGATGAGCATTCTAGTGAAAGTGTATAGTTGATATCTAACATTTGTATGACCTTGAGATATGAAGATTGTAAAAGCTATTTAATTTAATCAAAAGGAAAGCAAAAAATAGAAGTTATTAAGACCAGATCGAAACTACGGTCCGACTACTAAATGGTGCCTTGTCAAGTCGGGTCTAGAGAATACGTCGGGTTTGATAAAAAAATCATTTTAAATAACTTTTTGACTGGTTTTGTCCAGTTTGACTGACAGGTTTCAACATCCAAATAAAGTGGGTATCTCTCTTTTTCTCTTTTCTAATATATTACATATTGTAAATTATTATTGTAATTTTATTAATATTTTTAAAATCATGTCAATTTTGACGAAACTAGACTGCTCATTGGTTCGGTGGTCAGTCCAATCTTGATAACACCGAAAACAATTGCAAGTCTGTTGGAGTTCCTTGCCACTAAAATATATTTTCCTTTTCATATGTTAGTCTCTTGAAGTTGGATTCATCGATTCTTGTTTTTATCACATCGTGCAACTCATTCATATATTCTAGCAGACGTAGTTTGGCAATTTCAAACAAGAATAAGATCCATATTTGTGTAGGAATGGGCGCTCATGATATAGGTGGTCAAGGTGGTGGGTACCACAAGATGACGGCTTGAGAACCATGCCTATAAGAGAAGCCCTCTTTGCTGATCTTGCCAAAAAGAAAAAAAAAAAAAAATCACACTTGTGATCCGAGCCAAACCTACATAAGTAAATGGTTATGACGATAAAGACAAAATAAACAAAAAAAGGTTAGCATAAAAGAAATCTTCCACATTCAAAATTATCGAGGGAAATAAACCTCTCTATTTGGAGCATTGATCTCTGAGAGGCATTTACAGGTAATTGGGGAAGTAAGCAAACCTGCTTTGTACCATTTTTTAAGAAGCAACATAACTTCCACGTGATTCACTTTCCAAAACCTAGAATTGAGAAGGGAGACTTGTTTCCTTTAGGGAAGAGACAAGACTGTGTGTCCTTGCCTAGGTTGGACTCATACCCAGGGGGAAGGATTCTAAATAATTTTGGCTAAAGCCACTTAATAAATCCAAATCCACATTCCTCTTACACTGATCATTGATTCTAAATTTCTAATATCCATGATCATTGCACATGTCTACATGTTCCTATCATATCAAACCTCTTTTCAAAGGAGAGAGAAGAAGAGAGAATAATTGAAGGATCTTACATGGCTTCAGATTGATGTTTTAAAGAGAGATGATCTCTAAAACTCTAAATTCAACAAATGATTAAGGAGAGAGAAGAGGGGATATCTAAATGCTACTGTTTAGGGTTAGTCCACTTATAGAGAATCCATATTTTTAAGAGAGAGAGAATATCTAAAACAGTTAAAGAATGAGGTTAGCCATGTGTATAAGGAATCAGAACACAGGGCGCTGTTTGTCTTTTGCATTCATAACAAATGCTTTGAACCACCTCCCATACAACACACATCATTTTCCTTGTTCATATGATTTCACTGAACTCTTCTCTCAACCTCTATACATAGAGCCCTCAAACCCAGCTTGCTTTTTCTATCCGCCCATCTCAGAATCCCCAAAACAAAGACAACCCCTTCTCTGTTCAATTCCTCAAATCATTCCCAAAAGTAAAACCTGAAGTTGTCCCTATATGGGCTTTCAAGACTTCATCAGAAACAGAGGTCCGAGAGGAGGAAACTACAAAAGGCTCAAGAAATATGGAGAAAGAGAGACACAGGAAAGGAGAAAATGGCTGAAATTCAAAACGAAAATACTTGGTTTGCATCTATCCCCGAGGCGGATCAAGTGGCGCAGAGTTTACCCCTTTCTTTTGACAAAGAAACTTGCTGATACATACTCTGCAATGGTAAAGAGAATGGAAATGGATGGTATATATCCTACAGTTGTCTTGAGTTCGCAGTGGGGATACCCCATTTTTTCTCAGTCCACTTTGGGTAGAAAGAGCGTATTTGCGAACAAGGGGAGATGTTCCACTGATTAAGATTCTGTTTCTAGTTTCTACATGCAATTAATAGTATTAATTGGCTTTCTTTTTCATAATAGCACTCTCACGCTCTCTGCAGGTGTGACTGCATGTAGAATTAGTTGATATCCGAGTAGTATGCTATATTGCAATCTGTTAGAGGTAAAGCCTAGTGCATGCCAATTGGTATTGGTCAGGCTCTACAAGAGGTGTGGTTGTATGCCCAACAACGCCAAATGATATATATATGTAGAGAGAGAGAGAGATTAGAGTTGCCATTTGGGTTTGGAAGCGGGTCCAAATGGTAGCGGTCTAGGGCAGTGTTATCAAGCCGGATAGATGGGCAAACAAGCGAGGAGTCCAGTGCAGTCCAAACAAGTCCAAGTAGCAATTGAACAATTGTTGCCATAGTTATAAAGACCGTACCAGACAAGTGGGCTGATCGAAAATGCTTTTGCCGGTCTGATCCAAAATAAAAAATTGATTTGGTTGAAAATTGGTTTATAAGTAAGTATTTGACAGGCTCTGGTTTGTCCACCTAGTCGATCTCAAGCGGCTTCGCCAGCCAAATATAGTGCTCAACTTTTCTTTTTTTCTTTTTTTCCTAATATATCAAATATAGTTATCAAGACTGAACTAAACCTGTAGTCCAACTAGTCTGACCACCTACTTATGACTTGGCTAATCTGATCCAAAGTAAAAACTGAGTTTAGTAAAAAACTAGTTAAAACTTGTATTTGACCGATTTTTGTTGGTCCGACCTACTGTTTTCGTTAGGTTCGATCGACTAGCAACTTTTTTCTAATATATTACGTACTTTTAAACTATTATTTGCATTTTTTTCAGTAATTTTAAAATCTATTAAAAAACCAGTTCAACCAAGGGTCGTACCATTTTTTACTTAACAAGCTCGTTCATCAGTTTGGTGGCCAGTCCGATCATAAGAGGATTGATATTATATACTTTTAAACTATTGTTCATATTTTTACTTTGTATTTTCAAAATCCAGTCAAAGCTATTTAATCGATGGTCAGACCGGTATTGATTAGACCTGATCCCTCACCTAATCAGTAGCCAATCCGATCATGATAACACATGGTCAAGTTGTTTTTTCAAAAAATATCAATTAAAACTTTAAATTATTCATTTAATATCAAAATAGCTAGATTTTTAGGAAATGAAAAAGTGAATAATAAAAAATAGGGAAATTCATCAAAATAGACCTAAAAGGCGAACTAATATTTTAACTTTGGTGCAATTTCATAAATTTCAAAACTCTTTTTGATGTGTGGATTGACTGCAATTTGAAAATTGATCAAAGGAATCATAGGTCATTTGAGACTAGATCCGAAAATAATCGTAGGATATTAAATAGATCAAATCTTAGGCAAAACTGATTTGAGGTGCGGCTTTACTTTTTCTGATAAAGTCCAGGCCTTAACCAATTTTACTATTTAACCCTTTTCTGTGATTTTCTATGCTTCTTTACATTCTTGGCGCATCTTTCTCGTGATATTTTCTTTTTCGAAGCCTATTTTTTTTATTAATTCTACTTGTTTCTATTGTTCACTTGCATTTTCTCAAGATAGCCAAGAAATAGAACCCAAGCCTCAAATTATATATGTGTTGCAGTTTTACCTGCAATCAATGTGTTGCAGTTTTACCTTTTTTTTAAAAAAAAAAAAATCTGAAAATATAAAAAAAAGCTGCTGAAAGTTATATAAAACCAAAGACAACCCTTAAAAACTCCAAATATGCTTAAAAAATAACATAAACAGTGGATTTAAATAAATAGGTTTGTAGTTGGGGATATTTTCAAAAGAATCCACAAAAAAAGAAAATATAAAAATAGGGATTAGGCCAAAAAAAATTCACCAATCTTCCCCAAAAACATCCATATTATATAAAAAAATTATACAACAATCCCACATTTTTATAACTTTTTAGAATTTTTTGAATTTTTTTATGTACCCCGAGTTGTACACACGACTAGGGATAACTTGGCAGAGAGGCCGAGTTATTCGCCTGAGTCTGAGTGGACTCGGGTGATACTTGCAATGTTGGACTCAGGTGAGCCCCAAAGGAATGCTTACAATCACATTTATCCCATTTTTTGTCAAAGAAAAAAGAGAAATATTATTTTCACCTATTATTTTGGGGGATAAATTTTATGAGAAAGAAACGCACATGCTCGATGAATTTTTGTTGATTACCCCAAGTTGTACACACGACTAGGGGATAATACAGCGGCGAAGCAGAGTTAATTGCCCAAGTCCGATTGGACACGGGCGATTCCCACAATGTCAGACTCAGGTGAGCCCCATATCATTGCTTTCAAACATATTTATTCCATTTTTGTCAGAGACAAAAACAGAAATAAGAGAAAGATTATTTTCACCTATTATATTGGGGGTAGATTTTATGAGGAAAAAAGGGACATGCTCGATGATTTTTTGTTGATGCAGCTGTAGACTCCTATTTGATTTTAAGAAACTTGTATCTCCTTATTCTTTCATAGTTGATTGTAGGCAGGAGATGAACAAAGCATTGGAATTTCAGAGCAATTACACAAATAATTATGATCATGGAGGCATGGACTAAGATCATTGGAAAATATTTATGACTTTATTTACATAAATATTCATCATCAAACATCTTACATCCAACAATCACAAAGTAAAATGACAAATTTCACAGAAAATATAACCATCAAATACCGTCCCAAACCCCAAAATGGCACAGAATCTCGAAATTTCACATGTATTGCATCGACAATCATGGTCACAATCAAGTAACTTAAACCAGAAAGAGAAGACCTAAGAAATTAGAGAGAGAGAGAGAGAGACTCCTAGAAAATTGAGCGTACCAAGCAGGAAGATGGAGAGGAAATTGACAATCAGATTTTGTAAAAAAAATAAAAAATCTGGAAAATCAAATGAGAGAAAATGAGAGAAAATCAAATAGGTATGCCTTAAATACTTTAGAACCTCTGCCATGCACCCAAAGAAAATCAACTCAATGTACATCTAACCCGTCTAGATTTATGGAGGCCATATTCATGAAAAGGAAATAACTGAGATTTCCAAAGAGGAAGTCGATATACTAGTGATATTTTCAATAGGTTCCAAGGCCCGAATATAGTGTCGAAGCTCCTAATATGTTTACAACATGACATGAGTTTATGAAGGAAATTCCTGATTTATAATTAGAATATAGATCTATAAAACTGGGAAATACTTAAAGCATATAGTCGCGACTTGTGTGTGGCTTGTTCATGGCTGGACAAAACTTGTTATGAGACATGCAGAAAGTGGAGTACCCATGCTGAGCTCGAAGTGGTCCTCCACCCATACAATCCAAGCTTGAATATGTGCAAGCTGGGTTCAGCTTGGTCCCCATACACTACTAACTCTATCCTTTCTTCCCCAATTATTGGCACAAATATTTACCAGCTCCCTAAAATTTGTTAAAGAAAGTTTGTTGAGCTTGGAGAGTAAGTCTTTTAAATAGGACTCCCTGCTAAGCAATTCCAAGAATCACATAACCTAATTCGTTAGAGGTTCAAATTGATGAGATGGGCTACACATTTAAGAAAGAGGAAGCATACAATAAGATCATTTACCTCTATTACAAGGTCACATTCATCTTTTAGCCGTTAGACATGAAATCAAGTGGTTAGGGATGTGCCTTTGATTAGCTTTGAAGTCCCAAAAAATATTTTATGAACATAGCCCAAGCTATTAGATTTTACTCTTACAACTAGAGATGATTGTGACCTTCATGTATCAAATAATCAAATATAGTAAAAGAATTACTAGATGAAGCTTGTATTTAACTGGACAATTCTGTATAACAAGATCATTAAGAATATTATTCCAACCTATAATTTGTGCCATGTGTAGACATGCGTCCATACCGTGACATGTATTGACCTCTGGGCACCCTTGGAAGTCAAAAAATGTTAAATTACATAAGAAATTATATTATATAAACTAGTAAATCTATTATTTAATTTATAACATATGAATGTACAAATTCTAGTCATATCAACTTTTTAAATTACCCATGACACTTAATGGATGCCTAAACATGTGGAATTGTCATATAATACTGCTTAATATATTTTTTTTAGTTTTTTTCTTGCGAAAACAATGTGCAAGTATAGAGATATATTCATGAAGAAAACTAAAAGGGTTGGAGAAAAGTGACAAATCCCAAAAAAAAAAAAAGTTAAATTCCGAGCCTTAAGGTTGCGAGTCTTCAATCTATGAAATGCACCTTTATTTTGAATCAAGTGTAATTACATATTTCATAAACCATATTGTCAACAGATGTATGGGTCCAAACTATCAGGCATAACCATCTGTCTATGGGCTTTTTCCTAAACACTTTCAAGGATTAGTTTTGGTGTATAGCATCAACGAGCATAGGAACAATATACTTCAGATCTAGGAAACCATACAACAAGAACAAAAGCAACAATAATAGGGGCATTAATGAATGTTCATGAAGGTATTGTCAAGGGAGTGTTAATCCTGGAATGGCATTCTGTAATATACCAAAGGCAGCCTTAAACCCGCTGAATCAATGTGCCATGAATGAATGTGAGAAACAGGAGTCTATGTTATTCCCTCCACATATTTATACAAACAAAAGAAATAAAACATAATTTATGATGTAAGAAATACCATTCTTGAGGGTAAAAGGATTAATGATGAAAGGTGGGGTTAACTGTACTATCATCGAGAATTGACAATGAATGCTCTTCCATATACCAAAATTCATAAACCATCACCCTGTATGGTATACTTTGCCTAGCCTACAATCATGTAATAAAGTGCAGATCTTGCACTGAAGAAAATTTTCTTTTTCTCCGAAGACTATGGCACGGTAAAGAACTTCACATAGTAGAAATTCCTCTTAGATGAATATCATCCAATTTCTCCTACTCCATCTCATGCAACAAAACCCAATTCATCCCCTGCTCAAACCCAGCATCCTTCAATTGCAAAGTCAAACTATTCACTGCCTCATAAATCTGAGCCCCTTCAGGGTGGCACGGATCCTCGAACCTGAAAGAATGGACCTTACCAGCCAACTTAACAAAGCTTTGTCCTGCAAATTTCTTGGCGCCTCTGCTCTTCATCATGGCCCTTACCTTGGCCACATCCCCCCACCGCCTACCTGCTGCAAATATATTGGCGAAAACCACGTAAAAAACAGCAGCTGATGGATCAAACTTAAAGAGCCTCTCAGCTACATACTCACCCAATTCAATATCACCATGGACTTGACAAGCTCCAAGTAAGGCACCCCAAATACCAATATCAGGTTCCATAGGCATCTTTTCAATTAAATCAAGGGCTTTCCTCAACAAACCCTTACGCCCCAAAATATCGGCAACGTAAGCATAGTGCTCCAACTTGGGTGCGATTTGAGGCTCCATAGCCATGGAGCCAAAGAGCTCCAAGGCCTCCTCAAGCCGGCCAGAATGGGTGCAAGCCGAAAGAACAGCAAGAAATGTAATATGATTCGGCCTAAGATCTGATTTTAACATATGTGAGAAAACTCTTAAGAGCCTTGTCACAAGCCCCATTCTTAGCATCACTGGCAATCAAAGTGGTCCAAGAGATCACATTTATTTTTGGGATCTTCTCAAAGAGCCGACGAGCATCAACCATTGTCTCCATACTTTGCATAGATGTCTAAGAGTGCATTAAAAACTATACTATTCGAGCCAAATCCCGACGAATCTATGTATTTGTTTATCTCTCGACCAACCTCCAGAGCCCCTGAGTTCCACAGGCTGAGAGTGCAGCAACCACAGCCACCTCATCAGGCCTCTAGCTGAAGGATTCCATTGCTGGAAACAAGTCTAATGCCTCACTTGAGAACCTATTTTACGCATAACCTGAAATCATAGCTCCCCAAGAAACTACTGTCCTTTTAGGAAGATTATCAAATAAGAAACGAGCTGACCCAATATCCCTACACTTGGGAGTATAAAGCAATAACGGCATTGCATGCTGAAACCTTTAAATCCAAAGAGGATTTTAATCAAAATCCATGGACGGATTTCCCTAGTGGGAGCAATCCTAAACCAGAACTGATACACAACGAGCTCAGCATGGTGCTAAGATCTGGGTACATGCCAGCCATACCCATTTGCCTAAAAACCATTAAAGCTTCTAAAATATGTCAAGCTTGCAAAACCCACTTATCATAGAATTCCATGTGACAACATCACGGAAATTTTCAGGGATTCCATTAAAGAGAAGGTCAGCCGACTCTATATCATTCCATCTAGCATAATGGATATAAAGGTGTTAATAGCAGGAAGAGGCAAAACACTGCCAGCCTTAATTCCCATACAATGCACTCACTTTCCGGGCTGTAAATTTCCATCCATTGTGCACGACTGTAATAGGCCCACTATCGTAATGGAATCGGGTTTACACTTTACAGTAAGCATCTAGTTGTAGTTGCTGAAATAGAATAAAAGATTCAGTCAAATCATTGAGTTTAGAATAAGCTCCAATTATGGAGTTCCATGAAACAATCTCTTTCTCAATCATTCTATCAAACTGTAGGCGAGCTCTACGCAGATTATGACATTTCACATACATGTTGACCAAAGCTGTCTGGAAAAAACCATCAGAAGAAAACCTTGATTTTAAGACATGGGTATGAAAGTGAAGCCCATTGTGTAGGTTACAGAGAAGGCCAAAGGCTTTGGCAACAACATGGAATGTTAAATTGTCTGGTTCAACATTGGTTTGTTTCATTTGCCAAAAAATGAGAAGGGCTTCTTTGCCATTAGAGTCCATTGTAGAAGCTCTGATCATGGAGTTCCATGAAGAAGTAGAAGGACTAGAAATCTACTAAAAAATCTGACATAAATAGTTGCCAGAATCCAATGCAAAGAAAGCAATGACCTTGGCCAGGAGCCAGTTGTTTTCGTGAATTCCAGAAGTCATCATGTGGCCATGGACTTGCTTCAGATGCCATGAATTGGCGCAAATATGCAGTTTCTGGGCAATGAGGACATTCGGGTTTAGAGAGTGAAATAAGGCAGGGTAGCATAGGGTGAAGCCACAGTCAAAAAGAGCAGGAGCCATAAGAGGTTTTACGACATGGGGGTGTGAATGAAGTGTGGATTTGAGGAATTTTGACCAGCATTTATGCATCTATTGAACAAAATAGCCAGAGCGAAATGTATGATGGTGAGCGATGGAGGAATAAACAGAGGTCACAGCCAACATAGTAGGTAAAGGAAAATGGTCTGAAAGGGTTTTACCGCTGTCAAAATATGTAAAGCCTCATCTCATAATTGCTCGAAATTACACATGGAAAATGTTTTTATGTGCGAGGCTCTAGACGATCAAATTAGGGCACACCTAAAAATTTCACTAGGTAGGTTGTTTTGATGCTCAAACTGATAATCTCAACCTCAAGATGCATAGACAAGTGAAAAAAAAATGGATTTTAAGTTTTACAAATAATGCATCTTGTAATACATTTTTGGAGAGTCAATTTTCAAAATTGACAACCTCAAGATGAAAGAAAAAAAATCCTCCTTTCTAATGGATAGTTCTCAGTTATTGAGGGCTACTTCTCAAATATTTCAAGAAAGTAAGCGGGATATTGGAGAATATCCTTCTTGATCTCCCTATAAGACATGATTTTAAAATTATTTCCAATCATTCTAGAAAAACCATAGCTCTCTACAATATACAATTCAACAATTGCCCATCAAGATCTCAGATATTTGGCGAGCTCTACTTCATCACCTTCTACCCAATACCAATCGAGTGGGCATGACAATTCCTGAGTCGGCTTGCTGATGTCAAGCAAGTGTGCTTAAGTGATGAAAAGGAGGAAAAAAATTATGAAGAAAAACAAAATTGCTCAAGACTTGAAAATTTGCTTTAAACTACAGAATTCACTGCAACGGATCGTCTAGCTCTGAATAATCCAAGAGATTCGCCTAATCCATCATGAACCAGGGACCTTGGGTCTTAGCTAAACTGGATCAGATTCTGATTATTCTTGGATGAGTATTAGAAAGTTTCTAGTTCTCTATTCGAATCCACCCTCTTCTTTCTTTTCTTTTTTTATACAATATTATCTTTCAATCGACGCTCTTAGCAATTACCTTATGAATGATAAATATGACGGGGTGCGGTGTGAGAGTGTTCTTTCAAAGAGTAGTTTAACCTTATGTAAACGTGCTGAATACATGTCTTCAAACTTGGTTTGGGCTTTGGCCTTGGCCCATGGCAAGTAACTTGTCCAAGTTCCAGTGGATTGAGTCATGAACAAGGACCAAAAAGTCAAAAAATATGAAAAATTTGTTAAAAATTATTTGAAATCAGTAAAAGTAAAATAAGTAATACAAATTATGAGATGTTTATAGAAGTCAAAAATTTATATAAAAGATGGATTATTGAAAATTTGATTTATATCTTAAAATATTTTTTAAAAATAGAATATATAATATGGAAGTTCTTAAATCATCATAAAAACCGTATATATCTTATAAAAATATATTTTCAAATATTATATTGGAAATTTTTTTAAAAAATTATAATTTTTATGAATTGGCTCCGGGAACTCGCCTAGACCATGGGCCGGTCTAGTCTAGTTGACGGTTTGCTCGAAAGAGAGAAAAAAAGAGAAAGAGAGAGATAGAAAAGAGAGAGATGAGATGGTCCCATGGTTGATGCATGGTGTTCCATTGGCGTTTGAGATGGGAGTGATTGAACTCCTCTCTCTTCGCAGTTGAAAGAAGTGGAAGTGTGCTTCACTCAATTCTACACCTGCTCCTCTTGGGTTCTGCCTCCGACTTCAATCTCATCAGGATTTGGACACCTGGCATGCTTTCTTGCTTCATGATCCCTACATGGACAGGTGTACGGTCTTGATTTATTTTTTATGAAGGGATGAGAGCTATGACAAGAGAGTGCATAGAAAAGTGAAGGGGGCAATGCAAAGAGAGGAAAACGGTGGAGGGAATGGGTTGCAAATGGAAGGTAGTGCAAGTACCATGGGTGTGATGTGTATGAGGCTGAGGCTTTTAACAATCAAAGTAAGGCGTACATTCAAATTTTATCGAGAGATGTTACTTTAGTATTGAAAATCTTTGTTATAGCTTGAAATTTATTTTTACCTTTAATTGTAAGATTTAAAACTCCAAAAATAGTGTACGTCAAGCATATCTAAAAACGCTTAAAAATCTTGAAAGTTGACGCACTTAAAATTTATTTTTTTCTCCTGCCTATATATCTTGCAGTGGAGATGCTCCATTTGAAAAAATTTGGCGGTAAAGATCATTTTTGTATTTTATTCCTTTTTGACCCATTTGAATAGAGTGCACTGATATTGGCTCCCCATTTCCAGTCAGTGGGAGCGTTTCCTTGAGCCAACTACACGTAACATTAGTCCCATGCTCACTTTGATTGGTTCATAAAAGCTAAAGATAGATCGTTTCAAAATGGGCCACGTGTCTAAGAAAGTCTCGTAAGTGCCACGTGGATGAGTTAGAGAAGTTGAAGATAATGCAGCACCACGTGTGGCGACTAATTCGTTCGGTTAGAACTCTCACCGAACTGAATTTTCTCCTTGGCATACGGACTAATCGGATTCAATCTTTCTTTCTTTTTTCTTTTGCGTGCACTTGGCATACGGATTCATCGCTCTAGAGATAAAGGTGCACGTTCAAATTTTATCATGGTGTGTAATTTTGATATAAAATGTTTTTAGGATTATCTTAAAATCTATTTTTATATTTAATTATAAAATTTAAATTTTAAAAGTGGTTAAAATCAAGTAGATCTATAAACATATGAAAATCTTGAAAATAGATGATGTAAATAATATGTTATAAAATGAACTATTTTTTAGGCTTAAAATCTTTTTATTTTTCATGTCGAGATGATCAATCAAAAGGTTTTTCAACATTAAAACTACCTTTTTCGATAGATTTTTGAGGTGTATCCGTAGTTCTACATTATAAGGTTGCATCTTTATATAAACTTTTTCTTTTTTTTTTTACAAGAAAAAAAACACTATGTTAATGGGATTCAATCCTTATTTTCTTGGATAAGATTACTTACTTTTATTAATCAATGAATAGTTACAATGGTTTAAGAAGGTAATACGTCAAAAATTGTAATGGAATGTATTCAATCCACCGACCATCAGCAATATCATTAGCCTCCCTGTAAAAATACTGAAATGAAAATTTCAAACTTGCACAAAGATCCAGAATTCTCATCCACTTCCTTTTCAAATGCTATGGAGGCCTTGATACATTATTCCACACCCCTCCCTTTGAATCACTAGCAGCAATCCTTGCTCTAAAGCCTCCATTTTCACTTCATTTTGTAGTTCCACATAGCCCTGCATAGCAAAATATAATACCTCCAAGTAAATCCCCATTGGGATTCAATCTTTATCTTTGGAGCATCCTGAGATAGAAGAATAAATTGCGACTATGGCATTAGGGTGTTAGCATGATGGCTTTTGTCTTTTTACTTTTCCACTCCAAGGCACGAAGCTGTGATTTGCCTATTACGGTCTCCCTCAAATGAAATT